AAAAATAATGTGCATAAATATTATAAGTGGAAACATTTAACACAATATAACAAAATATAAACTTAATTTTACATAGCTTACCACATAGGAATACATAACAATGTAAGCTGTAAAATACTATCTCATTCATACTCAAATTCTCAAGGAAATAGGCTAATCTACTTATATCCCATCTAAACCATACCTTTACCCACCATTCCCTATTCCTATCTAAAAGATAAACCCGAGTGTAAGCATCACCCAATCCCAAATAACTAAAACCAACCCAAAGACGATGACTATTATCCCAAATTTCCAAGGGTAGGGAAAGGGGGCGTAGTCATATTAAGATTACTTCCTGCTGAAATGGGACGATGATTGCTCCAATGGATCCTGTAGGAAGAAAATTTTTAGCAACCAAATTTCTCAACAGAACTGGCTGTGACATATGTAGTTAGTCACTGTGTGGCAGAAAATTCTTGACTGTAGTTCTATTTGAAACTGGCCAGGGTGTAATAAAAAGGTGCACCATTACAGCTAGCTAATCATGAGTTGTCTCGAGCAAAACAGTCTCAAACCGGTTTTAGGGTGATGTTTGTAGTTCCGATGCATCAGGTTGAGTCAAGTGGAAATGATGATGTGGGGCCCCATCTTCTTTCCGGAAAGTTCAAAGACTGTTGTTAGGAATCGTTATTATTCCTTGTGGAAAAGTTACACATCAATATTAAAGTAAAATTTTCAAGTTTTAAGGTATGCATTAGGGAAAGACAACAATAAGCATTAAAAGTATGTGAGAAAATTAGGATTTCAGAGAGAAAATTGCATAAGATATGAGTCCCCAGATTTTGTTTCTTCTGCCTTACACCAATTGGCTTCTTGATTTAAGGCAGAAACCATGAATTTAATCTTAACAACATGCTTGAATTTAGAGAAGGAAAGCCAAATCCAACTCCAAAGCCAGCATTGGTTTACAAAATTTGGGACTTCAGGAATACTAGATAGTAGAGAGAAATAAATTTTTATATAGAAATAGTTTACTACAATTAAATATTTTTTATTTATTTATTTATTTTTTTTTTTTACCATATATCAGATTCTGCTTCCTTAAGTGATTGTTTCTGAAGAGCTCTCTTCTCTTCTGTAGGCACCTACATGTTCAGTGTCTTTTGGCTGTTTGATGATAGGTTTTCTCTGTTTTCCTGTAAAAACAAGAACAGAACACTTCCCCTACCTTTGAGAGGCCTCCGCACACCTCATAGGACCTAGTTTGTTGGATGACTTGTCATTTCTCTTCATTAAGATGTTTCTCTTGTTCAACTCGGATCTTGATTAACTTAGATGGTATCCATAGTTTTTCTTCTCCTGTAGATACAAATGCAAAACCCCTACCCCAACGTAACACATATCCTGCTTTCCATTCTGAGGTCAGTACATCCTTGAAATACACTGGCTGATTTAGTTTAGAAGTTTTTTCTATTGTCCAGTGTCTTTCTGTAGCTGTTTTTCCTTTTTCATCAGCATTAAGAAAGTTTAATGTTAATAAAGCATTATGTAATCTGTGTTTGGGTGTTTTGGTTCCTCCTGCCTGTTTATGGAGCATTTCTTTTAAAGTACGATTGGATCTCTCAACCACTGCTTGTCCTGTAGGATTGTGTGGTATACCAGTTATGTGCTTTATCTTGTAATACTCAAAAAACTCTTTTAATTTGCTGGAGACATATGCTGGAGCATTATCAGTTTTTATTTGTGCAGGTATGCCCATAATGGCCATTACCTCTAAAAGGTGTGTTATAACAGAATCAGCCTTTTCAGAGCTCAGAGCAGTAGCCCACTGAAACCCTGAAAATGTATCTATAGTGTGATGTACATATTTTAATTTTCCAAATTCTGCAAAATGAAACACATCCATTTGCCATATTTCATTCCTATTTATACCTTTAGGGTTACTGCCTGGTGGTAAAGGAGTTTGGTTATAGAATGAGCAAGTAGGACATTTCCTTACTATTTCCTTGGCTTGTTCCCAAGTGATAGAAAAATCCTTTTTTAAACCTTTACTGTTCACGTGGTGTTTCTTATGAAACTCTGAGGCTTCTAGCACACTTCCTATCAATAAACGATCAATTTTATCATTGCCTTGTGCTAGAGGACCTGGCAGACCCGTATGGGATCTGATGTGTGTTATATATATAGGATGAGTCCTCTTTCTGATAGTATCTTGTAACTGTATAAACAATGAAGTTAATTCTGTATTGTCAGGAATAAATTCTGCAGTCTCAATGTGTAAAACGACTCTCTCTGCGTATTGAGAGTCAGTAACTATATTGAGGGGTTCTTTAAAATCCATAAGTACCATGAGAATGGCATACAATTCTGCCTTTTGTACAGAATTGTAAGGGCTTTGAACCACTTTACTAATATTTCCTGATTTATATCCTGCCTTACCTGATTTATTTGCATCAGTGTAGAATGTATGAACTCCAGAAATAGGTGTTTTTCTTACAATGCGTGGAAGAATCCAAATCGTTTTCTTTATGAATTTGATTCTCTCAGTTTTGGGATAGTTGTTGCTAATTGTTCCCAAAAAGTTACTGCAAGCTCTCTGCCAATATTCGTTATCTTTCCATAAGGAAGAAATTTCCTCATTAGTTAAAGGTACTATAATTTCTGCTGGGTCCCTTCCTATTAGCTGACGAAGTCTTAATTTACCTTTTATAATCAAGTCAGAGATCTTTTCTATATATGTTTTCAGTTTTTTATTCTGTTTTTGTGGTAGGAATATCCATTCTAATATGATATCTTCTCTCTGCATCAAAATCCCTGAAGGATATTCTTTAGATGGTAATATAACCAGAATACAGTCTAGGTTTGGATCCACACGGTCCACATGTGCTTCTAGTATCCTCTTTTCTACCCATTCTAATTCCTTCTCAGCTTCAGCTGATAGTATTCGTGGACTATTCAAGTCCTTATCTCCTTTTAGGGCCATTTTCAAGTTTTTCAAATCATGCCCTTCTACTCCAATTATGGTTTGCAGTTGAGAAATCTCTCCTAGTAATTTTTGAAGATCATTAAGAGTCTGGTAGCGATCTCTTCTGATCTGTACTTTTTGTGGTCTAATTTTCTGTAGACCTATTTTATATCCTAAGTAGTTGATAGACTCTCCTTTTTGTATTTTTTCAGGTGCAATTTGTAATCCCCAGCGAGGTAAAACTTCCTTTACTTTCTCAAACATTTTTTCTAATATTTCTCCTTTAGAGTCAGCTAACAATATATCATCCATGTAATGATAGATTATGGATTGTGGAAACTGTTTACGAATTATTTCTAACGGTTTTTGTACGAAATATTGGCACAGGGTGGGGCTATTTAGCATTCCCTGTGGCAAAACCTTCCATTGATATCTCTTCACCGGTTGAGAATTGTTATAATTAGGTACCGTGAAGGCAAATTTCTCTTTGTCTTGTTCTTGTAAAGGTATAGTGAAGAAGCAATCCTTTAAATCAATAACTATAATAGGCCATTCTTTGGGTATCAAAGAAGGCAAGGGCATTCCAGGCTGTAGAGAGCCCATTGGCTGGATAACTTTATTGATGGCTCTCAGGTCTGTAAGCATTCTCCATTTACCAGATTTCTTTTTGATCACAAATACAGGAGAATTCCAAGGGCTGGTTGATTCCTCAATATGTCCAGCATTTAGCTGTTCCTGAACCAGGCTTTCTAAAGCTTCTAACTTCTCAGAGGTCATAGGCCATTGTCCTACCCAGACAGGTTCCTCTGTTAGCCATTTTAAAGGTAGGGCTTTTGGTTCCTCTGTTTGTTCAGCATTTGTATTTTGTTTTTGTACTGCCTGGATATTTGGTCTCTGTCTTGTATAGTACTTAACAGTATTCTTTCCACAATCATGAGGTCGTCTATGGTTCCTATCTAATACAGGAGGAATGTTAATCTGTGTATTCCATTGCTGTAATAGATCACGACCCCATAAATTTATCACTACATCAGCCACATATGGTCTCAACCTCCCTCTCTGTCCTTCTGGTCCTATACAGTCAATCCATCTCGTGCTTTGTTTTACCTGAGCCAGGGTTCCAATCCCTAAGAATTGAACATTTACCTCATGCAGGGGCCATCTTTGAGGCCAAGATTTATTAGATATGATAGTTACATCAGCTCCAGTGTCCACCAGACCCTCAAACAGTCTATTATTCATCTTAACTATCAATCTAGGCCTATGACTATTTATAGCAGTTTGCCAAAATATACGTTTTTCATTTCCTTCTGTCATGTTTGATTCAACTTCCGTCACTAGTTCGTCATCCAGAGCAGTATGAGTTTTTATAATAGGCACAGAATTTTCTAATTGTCCTGTGGGAGATTGTCTTCCACTGTGACTGGGAATGTTCGAACCACCTGTGATGTGGGGGCCTTCGAGAGGCCCCCCAAGGAGTTTCCCGATGGTAAAGGGTTTCCTTGCTTGTCTCTGGTCGATCTACACTCATTTGTCCAGTGTCTGCCTTTGCCACACCTTCTACATAACCCAGAAGGCTGAGGCCTTCTGTTTGATTCATTCCTGGGGGTGTTACTTCTAGGGAAGCTTTGCCTACAATTTGTTTTTAGATGTCCTATCTTACCACAGTTATAACATCTGACATTATGATATCTTTTCAAACCTTTGGGGATGGCTTCTCCTACCCAAGCTTCTAAGTCACCATAGTAAGGAACTCTGTTATCTTGATATCTTCTCTGACCTTTAGATATGGCTTCTCCTATCCATGCTTCAGTCTTATTGTCATTATATTCAATGTTGCCTGTATATAGGACCCATTCATCCAAGGGTGCTGATCGCATTTTTAAAGGCCAAAGTACCTGTTTGCATTGAGGATTCGCATTCGTATAAGCTAAAGATTCTATGAGTATTCGCCTAGCATCTATGTCTGCTATCTCTAATTGTACTGCCCTAGATAATCTTTCTAAAAAGATACTAAAACGTTCTCTAGGTCCTTGCTTTATCTTGGTATAAGGTAAATGACCGAAAAGTGTTTGTTGGACGATTTAAGTCTCGCAAGGAACGAGAAGCAGAACTTGGAGCCAGGGCAAAGGAGTTCACCAATGTCTACATCAAGAACTTCGGAGAAGACATGGATGACGAGCGCCTTAAGGATCTCTTTGGCAAGTTTGGGCCTGCCTTAAGTGTGAAAGTAATGACTGATGAGAGTGGAAAATCCAAAGGGTTTGGATTTGTAAGCTTTGAGAGGCACGAAGATGCACAGAAAGCTGTGGATGAGATGAATGGAAAGGAACTCAATGGAAAACAGATTTATGTTGGTCGGGCACAGAAAAAGGTGGAACGGCAGACAGAACTTAAGCGCAAATTTGAACAGATGAAGCAAGACAGGATCACCAGATACCAGGGTGTTAACCTTTATGTGAAAAATCTTGATGATGGTATTGATGATGAACGTCTCCGGAAAGAGTTTTCTCCATTTGGTACAATCACCAGTGCAAAGGTTATGATGGAGGGTGGTCGCAGCAAAGGCTTTGGTTTTGTATGTTTTTCATCTCCTGAAGAAGCCACAAAAGCAGTTACAGAAATGAATGGCAGAATTGTGGCCACGAAGCCACTGTATGTAGCTTTAGCTCAGCGCAAAGAAGAGCGCCAGGCTCACCTCACTAACCAGTATATGCAGAGAATGGCAAGTGTGCGAGCTGTGGTGAGTCCACCTGGTTAAACCCTGCCCGTTGGGGAAGGTGGGGGAGGGGGGGCGGCTTCTGCCGCCTGGGGGCAAAACCCAGGTAAATCCCACTTCTGACACCAGATATTGCGGTAAATAAGGGTCAGGATAAACAAATAGGCCAAATAGATGTTTATTCAGGGAGAAATAACTTACAACCTAGACAGATGAACACCAGGAAATTCAACCCGATCCTCTCCTGTCCGAGTCACGCCAGAAAGAGAGTGCCTTCCTGGCCCCCTCCGACCTCCTTCCTCAGGTCACCTCCGCCCATCGCTCCACCCCCCAATGGGCGTGGTCAGTGCTACAGAAGGACTACCTCACTACACATGCCCATCTCATTTCCTCCACTTTGCTGGTGGATTGGGGGCGGGGTTGTGGTCTGGGGAACAGTGCAAGTTCATGCTCAGCTTACCCTCCTATGGGTTTGTTTCAGAACCATGGTAGCTTATTTTGCCAAGTGCGGCGGCATCATAGAAGATGAGAGGCTGCCAGGCTTGGGAGTTTGATTGGTGTGTGGGTGAGCACAAGGAGAGATTGATTTCATAGTGTAATCATCGCTCTATGCTGAAGGCCTGGTGGAAGAGTCAGATGTTCTCAAGAGAAATGCTCATGGCCTCCCTTCAATACCCATACTGTCAACCCTTTCCCTAGTGTAACTAGTATCTCCAGGGGACTGCAGAAGTCCACCTGAATCTGACTTCCAAAGAAAGTGCTGAAAAAGTCTCCAATATTGACTTATCAAAGGAATAGACTCAGGGACAAAGAACACTACCAGATCCAGAATGGGCAGTCATTTTACAACCTCAAATATAATTTTTCTGGCAATGTATTCATTTATTTATAGTTTTCCCCGACCCACGGGGCAGTCAATGACGAACCAGTGAACACCTAGGAGGGAATGGAGAACAAGGGGATACAAAGGAGGACAGAAAGACAGTTTTCTGATCAAGCTGACCAATTTTATTTTCTCAGGGGAGGCTTATATAGGACCGTAGGCAGGGTTTGCACATAGGCAGGATGAAAGGGTCAGTAGAAGGAATGCCCTGAACTAATCTTTAACTGGCTGTAAAATTGTAGCAGGAGAGATAGCCCTGAGCTAGTTAACTATTCTTTAACTGGCTGTAAAGCTACAACAGGAAGAGTATCCTGAGCTATTCTTTAACTGGCTGTAAAACCAAAAGCCTGTACCTTGGAATGCTCTGCTGAACATTCTGCTTATTTCTTAAAAGGCAGCAATTTTCTATCTCAGAGGCCTGAGGTAGTGAGGATGGTGATGATCCACAACAATAGTTTTTTGTTTTGTTTGTTTTTCAAGACAGGGTTGCTCTGTGTAACAACCATGGCTGTCCTGGAACTCTCTTTGTGGACCAGGCTGGATTCCAACTCACAGAGATCTGACTCCCAAGTGCTGGGATGGAATGTGTGTGCCATTAAGACTTAATGACTATTGTTAAAAAAACAACACTGCTCTAGATGTGATAGGTCAAGGATAGGTCAAACAAATGTTTACAAGAGAACAGAAAACAAGTATTTTTGCAAATTGCTGTAAATGAACAGATCAAAGCTAAAAGCACAAACAAATGGTATTGAAGAAAAGGATTGTTACAGGTGCAGATGCAACAATAATTTCAGGCACTAGGTATGAGAGCAGCTAAATGCTCAACATATTGAATTGGAATTATTTTGTATTTGTCATTAAAAATAAATCTGGAAAATGGAGACTGGTAACAGATCTGAGAGCTATAGATAAGGTGATTCGGCCAATGAACTCTTTACAGCATAGAATTCCCTAACGGATGAAAACTGATCAGATGTTGGTAGGAAATGTGGTAAAAGCCCCAGAGTTTCATAAGAAACACCATGATAACAGCAAAGATTTAAGAAAGATTTTTCTATCACTTGGTAACAAGCCAAGGAAATTATAAGGAAATTTGTTCTTTATATGACCAAAGTCTAACACCTGCAGAAAGTAACCCAGAAGCTACTCAATGAAATTTGGTAAACAGATGTGTTTCATTTTTCAGAGTTTGGAAAGTTAAAGTATGTGCACCATACCATAGATACATATTCAGGATTTCAATGGGCAACTGCTTTAAGTTCTGAAAAGACTGATTCTGTAATTACACATTTATTAGAAGTTATGGTCATTATGGGGGTACCTGTGCAAACTAAGACTGAAACTTACTGACACTCAGCGTGTGTCTCTAGTAAAACAAAACAGTTTTTTTTGCATATTACAACATAGAGCATATTACAGATATACTACATAATCCTACAGGATAAGCAGTTATAGAAAGATCTAATGGCACTTTCAAATATATGCTTAATAAACAGAAAGTGTAATAAAGATCCCCCAGAAATAGATCACACCATTCTTTATTAACTTAAAATTTTTTAAATGCTAATGAAGAAGCAACAACAGCTGTGAAGAGACAGTGGATAGAAGAAAAAAGCTGCTGAGTTAATTAAATCAGCCTGTATATTTTAAAGATGTGCTGGTCCACAATAGAAGCTGGGATGTATGTTACATTGGAGTAGAGGTTTTGCTTTTGTTTCCATAGGAGAAGAAAACCTATGTATACCATCAAGATGGATAAAGATTAGATTCGAACAGGAGAGATATCCTGAATAAGGAGAGGCAATAGTTCATCATCAGGCAGCTTGGTCATTCAGTTCAAATTAACTTGCAAAGATTAGCAAATGCTTTTCATGAAAAGATAAAATTAAAAACTAATAATATTTTTGAATGATAATTTACCAAATGCATAATTGCCTTATTGGCATGAAAGGGAAAATAAGTTTTCATAAACCATGTGTTTTAATTCCACGTTAGAATGTTAAACTGTAAATTGCTACATGATCCATGCCATTTTGGACATTGGCTTTTGAATTTTCTCCTCGAATAAAAAGGATATTTATGTTGTTTTGTATTAAAAACCTAGTTAAGAGATTTAAAATGTTTTAAATAAATTCAAAGGGTTACTGCAGATCAAGCTTGTTTTCTAAATATCTAAGAATTGGATTGATTTAGAGCTGAGATAAAGTGTTTGAGCAGGGCAGTAATAGCCCATGCCTTTAATCACAGTGGAGACAGATGGACCTCTGTAAGTTAGTTGTTTTCTAAATTCTAGAGTTACATTAACAACGTGGTGGTGGTGGTGCACACCTTTAATCCCACAACCCAGAGATGAAATTCAGATATAGCTCCTAATTGATAAGTTGGCATACTAAAAAAATCACATACCATGATTACAGATTATTATAAAAAAAACCCTTTACAGGGTTACTAGAAAGATAGGCTAAAATTCAAATGAATGCCTTTTTGTGATCTAAATATAAATACACTTTAACCTTGAAAAAATATATATGTGTGTGTGAAAATAAAGATATATTTATCCACACATACCAAAGTTTATTTACTCTCAAAACAAAATAAAACAATTTTTTTTTCAGTTAAAAGATAGTACTTTTTCTGTTGCCAATGAACACTTGGACTTAACAAAGATATAATCTGCCAAAAAAGCAACTCCTCAAAGTTAGGGTTGGGGCAGGTTTTTTTTTTTTTTTTTCCCTTTTTGTGTTTCCAGGAAAATAAGAGCATCCAATTAAGGAATCCAATTAAGGAATCCAGAGGCCATTGGACAAGAGAGACAGTGGAGAAGAAAGACAGATCATCAAGAAGAAATGTCCCAAGAGAAAGAAAAATAAATTGGCCTAATCGTACTGTCCACATGCAACAGGGTAGAATTTCATAAATCTTCCTAAATACTTGTTTCTGCTGCTGTCTACAGACTTGAAAGGCAAATGGTCTTTTTTTGTGGTCCCAATTCAATTAAAAATTAAAGCTGGCTTTGGAGTTGGAGTATAGCTCTCTCCTTCTGCAAACCCACACATGTTTGTTAAAGGAAAATCCAAAATATCTGTCTCTGAGCCACCTAGTATAGGACAGCAGAAAGTAAAAAATAAGTGATCATACCACTGCGAGCTGGCCTTGAGGGCATGAGCATGGGGGAGCAGACTGTACCCTTTTCATCCGCCATGTGGTGGCATGGGTTTGAGAGAGATGCTCTCCCCCTTTCACCCCTCAACACCTGCATCAGGTGAGTTGGGGGTGCTTACCCACCCCTCACCAGCTACCGTATTCAGGAGGATGGGCCCTGCGCCTCACCTGGGCAGCATAGCAGAGTTGATGCTGTAGAGAGGGGCACAGGTGAGCCAGCCCTGGAGGTGTGAGAGGGGCAATGGATGGTACTGTGTGGTGGTGGGGGGGTGAGGGAAAGATGCCTACCCCCTTGCTCCTGCTGCCTCCAGCAGGGGAGCCGAAGGACCAGAACGGCAAACTACAGGAGCATCGAGCACCAGAAAACTGTTTGGTCATTTTAATGATGCACAAAGCAGGTTGTAAGGGAAACAAGAAAACCAGAGAGACAGAGAGATAATGCACAATGTTAAAACAAACAAAAAAACCAGTTTTAAATATTTAGACAATTCTAAATATTTGTGCCTGCTAACAACTCAGATGTGAAACTTCAGAATACAGGAAGCCAAGGCAGAATTAGAGGTAGCAATAAACAAAATTGTAAGATGTAAGAGATTTTGATAGTTTTCTTCCAGCCACATACAGGGTAGGAAGAAAATATGAAGAACCCATGAACACGGGAGATATCTTCTTCAATTTCTTTCTTCAAAGATTTGAAGTTTTTGTTGTACAAGTCTTTTACTTGTTAAGTTACCCCACGATATATTATATTAATAGTGGCTATTGTGAAGAGTGTTGTTTCCCTGATTTCTCTCTCAGCCTGTTTTATCATTTGTCTATAGGAGTGCTACTGATTTTTTTGTTTTTTTGGTAGTTATTCTTGAATGCAGCCACTTCACTGAAGGTGTTTTTCAGCTGGTAGAGTTCCTTGGTAGCACTTCTGGGGTCACTTATGTGAACTATCACATCATCTGCAAGTAACGGTACTTAGACTTCTTCCTCTCCAATTTATATCACGCGGTCTCCTTCAACTGTCTTATTGCTCCAGCTAGAACTTCAATTACTATATAGAACAGATATGAAGAGAGTAGACAGCCTTGTCTTGTTTCTGATTTTAGTGGAATGGCTTTGAGTTTCTCTCTATTTAATTTGATGTTGGCTATAGGCTTGCTGTAAATTGTCTTTATTATGTTTAGGATGTCCTTTCCATCTCCTATTTCTCCAAGACTTTAGTTATGAAAGGGTGTTGCCCTGGTGGCCCTTGTGTGTCAGCCCAAGTAGTCACACAGTTAAACTAACTTTGGCCCAAGGTGGCATCTGCAAGGTGAGTCTTTACACAGTGAACTGCCATCTGGTTTACTAAGTGACCAGAGAGAAGCCTCAGGAACGGGATTCCAGTAAGAGGTAGGCTAGGATATTAACTACATGTCTAGTTTACCATATTTCCAATTAATGCTGGGTTTATTGGGATAAAGTTCTATCCCAAGTAAAGAGCATCTGCATATATATATATATATATATATATATATATATATATATATATATTAGATTGCTGATATACAGTAAGGAAATCCACAACTAACCATTGGGCCAAGCTCCTGGAGTAAATCCAAGTGAAGGAGGAGAGATAATATGAACAAAGGAGTCAAGTCCATGATGGGGAAACTCACAGAATCTGCTGATCTGAGAGAGTGAGAGATCGCTGATTCCAGATTGACAAGTGGGGATCCTGCATAAGACAGAACTAAACTCTTTAATATAGGTGACATTGGCGTGACTGGGACAATATATGAGGCCACTGGCAGTGGGTCCAAGATCTAACACTAATGCACAAAATGACTTAGTGGAGCCCATTCTATATGGAGAGATACCTTGCTCAGCCTAGACACAGGGGTATGGGGGGGGGGAGCGAAGCCTTGGTCCTGTCTCAACTATATGATGGCACAGACTTAGCAGACTTCCCAGGGGAGGCCTTACCCTCTCCTAGGAACAGATGGAAGGAGGGAGGAAGGGGGGGGGGAGGAGAGGAAGGAGTGGGATTGGAATGTAAACGATAAGTTAATAATGAAAAAGAGTATTCAGTTTTGACCTGAAATTCCATCTCAACTACCCTTCTTAGGAAGATTAGCAAAGCAGATGATATATTAAATAAGGAAGCCCAGAAAACATCTTCCAAGGCAAACTCTCTTCCCCACACAGCAGCATCCCTTGTAAAAGACAACAGATCAGCAGGGAGATGGGCCACTACAAAGGAAGGCAGTCCTTTTATTGAAACATTTTACATGAATGCACACACAAATACAATCCTGCCAAGGAACAAATATAAAAACTGACACAAACCCACCCTGCTAGGAACCAGGAAGACCATACATGTGACTACGCCCTGTGTAAACGAGAAGCAGGACCCCAAACCTAGCCACAGAGGAAGTTCAAGATCCATATGTTTTTTGAGCACATGGGCCATATTTGTAGCTCCACACAATAGTGTGATCCCTGTTGCACACATCGTGAAATAACATCAACTACAAGCAAAACAAAACGAAATAATCCCCACCAAGCTTGCTCTGCAGAAAGTAAACAATCTTAGATTGTAGAAGTAAGCTGGCCTCCACCCCACACTGCAGACCATGTGTAAAAATACTTCACACACCGGTGGGGTGCATGGTAATAAATGTTTTCACAATGCGATGCGCGTAAACATCATTTAAAAACATCTACAAAAGTATAAGTGTAGAATTTCCATTTTCTTAGCAAAATATCTAGAAGTGATTGTTTTCAACAGGTTTTTCTTTTTTTGTGGGAAGCATGCATATAAATTTTTACTGATATACACAAAGAGTTTGAAATATTATTGTTCTTTTTTTTTGCTTTGAAACATTGTTTTAGAAACTAGAAACAATTTTTATTTATATAATACTTTTCACTGATGAGCCGCACTATCCAAATGGCTTCCTTAAAGAAACAAGGCAAGGAAGGTGAGCAGAATTGATTCAATTATTCATGGTTTTATGATAAAATATCTACCTCATGTATACCGATTACTTTTACATATGAAAGTGGTAAAAATCCTAATTCAGAATTATGGAAACACAGGGTCTTTTTGGTATTTGAACAACTGTAATAAAAGATTGATTTGTGGAACTCACTTGACCCACAGATCCTGGCTTGGCACCTATGAGAGGCACTGAGGATGAATGGCAGTGAACGGCCAGCCCAGACCCTGGCTGGTATCTTTAACTACTGGGAATTGATGAGTGCAGTGACTCTGGAGTCAATTAGAAGGCATCAGTTGGAATTAGCGGTGGTTGTGAGCCAGGGGACATGGTCATCAGAAACTAAATTAGGGTTCTCTGGAACAGCAGTAATGTGCTCTTAACCACTGAACCATCTGCCCAGCCCCTAAGTGCTCCAACTTGTAGCTAAGAAACAAAGATATGCTGAGTTGTTTATAGACTATTATCACATTACAGAAAAATTAACTATAAATTTTATCTTATCCTGGATTATTATTATTATTATTATTATTATTATTATTATTATTATTATTGAGACAGAGTCTCTCTATGTAGCTCTGGCTGTCCTGGAGTTCTTTATATAGAACAGGCTGGCCTGAAACTCACAGAGATCTCCTGCCTTGTAAGAGCTGAGACTAAAAGCACATGCCACCACACTTGGCTATCCTGGATTATTTAACCGAATTTGAAATGCTTAATATCTTCATGACCTCTGAGAAAAAAGAGAAGCATGAAGTCATTTTTTAAGCTCACAGGACATGTGCACACACATGTCATGTGCTGAGAAGTACACAATATGTATTCTTACCACGTCAGGTTTCTAAAACTCCATCAATTTACACAATTTTTAAAAAGGGATCTAAGCCATTTCCATTTTCTTTCCTCCAGACTCAGCAGCGGAGGCCAGAGTGGAGAGGCTCCTCTGGGTAGACCAGCTGTTTGGTACTTATAACCCGTGAGGTTCTGTAATATATGGGGTGGAACTGTCTCTGCTGGCTGTCAATGCATTGTGCAGAGACCTATCCCTCTGACCAGAAAGAGAAACTGTGCTCTGACTTGATAAGTTTCTGGAAGCCAATGTATCTTGCCTAGCGTGTGAGTATTGCTTGCAACAGTGTGCTAAAAAGGCACTTAGGAAACAGTGTCTTCCTTCCATCCCCTGAATATTACAGAACATTTCTGAAATACTGAAGGCACTGTGGCCCTTGGCCCACCAGTGACTTCAGTATGTAAGTCTTTGTATGTCTCCTATAAGGTTAGGGGCATGGAAACACTGGGTCACACTGCAGCCAGCTTCTGTTTAGGAGTAAGAATGTTGCACTGTGCTATGCTTGGTGACCCTGGTGGAAGATGTGGTTACAGTAGAATTGGGGTGCCCAGATTCCTCTAAATCTAAACTGGGCAGAGGGCCGAGACCTCCTACACTAGAAACCACAGTCTTCCTCGCCTTGATAGAAGTTTCACTGGGAATCTGGTAACTGGACTGCAGAGTGGAAGCAGGAGCCAGTACTCTTTCTGTCACGGTGACATTCTGGCCTGCTGCCACACTGGGCATTACCAGAGTGGGCTGCACACCTGAGCTGGGAGCAAGGATGCTCTCTCTCTCCCTCACCATAACATACTGCGAATCTTTCAGATGCTGGGTGACCTCGAGTGGCTTAGGGACGGCCCCGTTAGGCTGCACCACTCGTTCAGTAACAATGACATTTTCTTCATTGCCAAAGTGCTGATCCACCAAGGTGGATGCTGGAGCGTACAACCTCTCGGTCACAATAAGGCTCTGTGGCTGTCTAGGGCCCAGGATCACCGTGCTGGGTGGCACAGCGGAGCCCGTGGCATAGGAAGTTTCTGTCACTATAATTTTACCAGAAGCCACGGGGTCAGGATGTGGTGGCACTACCTTTTGACTCTGCCTGGAAGACACAGAGCTTTCAGTGACAATTTCCTGTGTGACTTTCTCTGAGTGTGCTTCATGCTGAGGTCTTGGGACTTGGAAGCCACTGTCAGAGGAGTATGTGCTCTCTGAGCTGACCATCATTTGCTCATAGTGTGAGCCCGAAGCTGGGTTCACTTTCGATTCTCGGACAGGCCTTTGCAGATGTTCAACATCTGCATCCAAACTGATCTTTCGCCCGAGGCAAACTTCGGCTAGTGTCTTGAATTTAAGCCCCAGGTCATCTAAGAACAGGTCATCAAGTTCTTCCTCGATAAAGCTGCAGCAGCCAATGGATCCTTGGAGAGAGGCTGTCTCTTCCTGGGAGTACATGAGAAGGCAGTCTTTGGCCATGTGAAGGTCATCTTCCTCTGCATAGGAGGCCGCTTTCTAACACAGAAATAAAAATGGAGCTGGATCATTACCAACACAAATTCATTTAAAAACAAGGCGTGGCATTCCTGCTTAGAATGCAAACACTGAGAAAAAGTTGAGTCTATTTGCAAGAAAGCACAAGAGAAACAGTGAGACATCCTACATTAAAGCTGGCCCGTCTTCTCACAAAAACATGAATATCAGGAAAGATGAAAAATGCTGGGAGCACATCAGATTAAAAGTGTACAGTGTCATGGCAACTAAATTAGACACCACATAGAAAAGTTAACTGCTTTAGAAGACAATTGCCATTATCGTGGAATTTATCAGTGGCTAAACTGAAATGTAAATTGTATCAATTTTAAGTTTCTTAACTTGCTTGCTGTACTGTGGTAACAGAGAAAAGTACACGTAATTGTAGGCATGCATGTGTGTTTATGTGAATGTGAGGCAGAATGGAAAAACAAATAGAAAATAATAGCAAATATAACTGGCTAAAATCCATGAAACAATGAATGGATAGGCTTGAAAATGTCTACTCTCTTTGAGACATGGTTTTATGTATCCTAGGCTGGCCTCAAACTCAATGTGCAGCTCAGGATAACCTTGAGCTCTGGGGTCCTCCTACCTCTCCTCCTATAGACTACAGTCGAGATGTGTGTCTTCATGTCCAGTCATGGATTCTTCTGACAATAAATTCTAGTTCCCTTTCTTTTTTTTTTTTTTGCTGGAGTTTGAAGCCAGAGCGTTAAGCTCTCCCATTGAGCTAAATTCTTAACCTCAGACTTTCATGATACCCAGAATTCCATGGTGCCAGTTAGACCCAGTCATCTGACAATGCTGCTGTGTTACTTTTGCCAACTTCCTCTCTACTCTCCCCAGCTGTAATTGTGGGCTTGTCTATTTCTCCAGCAGTTTGGGCTTTGAGGCTTTCAAGTCCTGCTGTAAGGCAATGACTTACTTAGGAGCCTTAGGCTTCTGCATGAATCGACTAGTTTCCATTTTGCAATAAGTAGTTTTGGTTCTAGTAATGAAATGTATTCTGGGATGAATTTTGTCTAGGTGAAATACTTATTTCCAGTACTGTTTCAGTTGTTAATGTCTGGCCATGATATCTGACCACCTTTTGTGTAACTACCTTCATTGTTTCTTTGTGAACTTCCTTCAGAATAACAAGTTTTATCAGATAAATAGCAAGAATGCGGAACTAAAGACAGAGCTCAGTGCTTAAGAGCACTTGTTGCTCTTCCAGGGGACCCAAGTTTGATTCCCACCACCCATATGACAGCACACAACCATATGTTCCTCCAGGTCCAGGGCTCTGACACCCTTTCCTGGCCTCCACCAGACATTGCCTGCATGTGCTATGTAGATAGACATGCAGGCAAAACATCCGCACACATAAAATCAAGAAATAAAATTAAAACAAAGAAAAACAAAAACAAAACAAAAACCAACCAGCCAAGAGTGTAAGTGGACTTATAGCCTGAGTGTTTTAGGCTACGTTCTCTGTCCCCTTCCTGGGTCACCCCCACCCCCAAGCCTGCTTCTGTAAAGGGGTCGTGTTTTCTGACCCAGGGTCACTTTTCATAGTCACATGACTTGCTTTGCTGAAAGAAACGCAAGTGTCAAAAGGGAGAGAGTCCGAAAGAGCCGGTGATGATTAATCCTCACTATGGACTGGATCGAGAATCACCCCTAGGTGATTGACAGCTGCCTCTAGGTATGCCTATGGGGCAGTTTTCAAAGAGGTTTGAATGAGGATGGAAGTCTCAGCTCACCCACCCTAAATGTGGGAGGTGCCATCCATGGGCTGGGTCCCAAACCAAATAAAGAGGAAAAAAAGAAGAAGCTGAGCTGAATAGCGGTGTGCCTTGCTCTGCGTCTTGATTGTGAACACAATTCGACTGGTTATCTCACCAGTCCATTGCTGTTCCCCATAGTGGTCTGTAACTAACTTCTCAAACCATGAATTCAACTAAACTCACTTCCCTCACGCTGTGTTTGTCAGCTGTTGTATCACAGCGTTGAGATAAGAGCTCCCAGGGCCAATGTCTGCTTCTGCCGCTGTACCACAGGACGGCAGCTGCCCTGGCTCAGTCTGCTTTCTTAGTGTGCATCTTAGAAAGAAGGTGACACAGAGTAGAGTGGGAACAAGTGGATGGGTAAAGCCCCAAAGAAAAAGGCCGAGGTAAAAACTAAGCAGATTGTGGGCTATCACCACTAACGTACCTTGGCTAACACCGCCTGTTCCAATGTGTCCCATCTCTCTTCCCTATTGCCTACAAACACAACTTAAAAAGCCTCATAGAGCTTCTCCACTAATTATATCTCCCACAGAAGCCCACTTAGAAGTCTAGAATATCACATTTTGATATAAACATTTCCCTCTCCCTCTTCACCAGCGCTTACCTCTGTGAAGTAACTTCTCAAGAATTCCTCATTCATTGCAACAGCAGCTCCTCGGGCCCCACCCTTGTCCCTGGAAGCCCCAGAGACTCTTGCAATCCTTAGTGTTTCATTGGCTGCGATGGCGCCTGCTGTCCCTACGAGGTGAGTGGCCTCCGTAGTAAGGAGGCTTCTGTGTTCTTCCCATCTTCCATCAACATCGGACAGCTCATGCTGTCCTTTGGTAAAGGAGGCTGAGCTACTGCCTTTCGCTGTGCTTTCCTTGAGGACTGCACCTCCTGCCCCATTCCTCACTGCCGAATTCCCTGCATGATCTGTCACCAGGAGCGATGGCACCACCTAGGGATAAACACAGCTCAGAGATGAATCTGAAGGACAAAGGGTCAGTGTACTGGGCAGAAAGATGTGAGCTATGAGGATATAAGGAGGGATAAGCTGTTTCCTTCTAGGCATATCAGAAAACACTTAGGGTAGGATACATCTATTAGAGTCTTGTGAAGGATTTCTTCTGCTTCAGAGCTGACTACAACCCATGGAGGACACAAAGCCCAGATTTCCTTATGTGGTCTTGGTTCACTCTCTTTACCAGAACCAATGCCATCCACTTCCCCTTTGAGATCTTCTGTGACAGTTACAAAACCCTGAAATTTCAGCTGGACACATGGCCATTCAAAGTAAAGACTCTGTGTCAAATCCTCCATCACTACCAGATTAAGAGTTTGTTGCCCTCTGATGAAAGAGAACCAGGAAGAAATGGTACATGCAACTCATAGAAATGTGCTACAGAACAGTTCTTTGTGATGTCTCAACTGCTTGTTCCAGTGTGAGGACAGGAAATAGTGTCTGGAATGGAGCCTATCTGGGGAGCATCAGGAAGGGCGGCTGGGTGGGGGCCTGTGTTGAAGGATCTCCACGTTGATGGATCCAGGACTGCCCACGTTTCCTCACTTATTTTTATTTGTTCAGACAAAAATCTCACTGTGTAGTCTAGACTGGTTTTGAACATGTGACCCTCTTGCATTACTCTCCCAAGTACTGGAATTGTAGGGCAGTGTTGCAGCTTGAATATGAAATGAGCCCCATAAGCTCATTTGTTCGATCACTTGGTCCTTAGCTGGTGGGATGCTTTGGAATGTAGTGGAACCATCAGGAGGAGGAGCTTCACTGTTAGGAGGTGGAGCTTCACTAAAGGAAGTGGGTCCCTGGGGGTGGAGCACTTCCTGTCTGACCACAGATGCAATGTGACCAGCCCCTTCACACTTCTGCTACCAAGACTTCCTTGCCACGCTTGACTCTCTCTCTCTCTACTGTAAGCGGGATTACTTCCTTAATTTGCTTTGTCGGGTATTGTTGCTGTAGTAACAAGGAAAGTAATCGTGGTGGTGTGAAAGAAAATGGCCCCAAAAGGGAGGTATAGCTTTGTGGGAGTGGGCGTGGCCTTAATGGAGAAAGTGTATTGCTGTGGAGGCAGACTTTAAGGTCTCATATATACTCAAGCCACGCCCAGTGTCTCAGACCACTTCCTGTTGCCTAGGGTTGAGATGTAGGAATCTGAGCTCCTTCTACAGCGCCATGTCTGCCTGCATGCTGCTATGTCCCACTAAGATGATAATGGGCTAAACCTCTGAGCTGTAAGCCCGCTCATTAAATGTTTTCCTTTACAACAGTTGCCATGGTCATGGTGTCTCTTCACAGCACTAGAAACCCTAACTGAGAAGTAATCAACATGGAGCATCATCAGGCTCTTCTTTGCCGAATTCAGCTTCCTGACACTTGCTGTTGAAACACACACACACACTACAGGAATGGTACTTGTGGCAGATGAAGAGGAGAGACCCAGGGCGAAGACACAGTGGAAAGACAGGGGAGCTGACTAATAAGCGATGGGAAAGGGATTTGGGCACACATCATAAGTACCTTGGGGGCTGGGGTTTACCTGTCAACTGACTATACTGAGAATGGAAGTGGCTGAGATCTGGGTATGAAAGGACCATTTAGCAGCAGGGTGGGAAGTTCCTAGTCTAAATTCCCACAAGCTCTTGCTCTCCCAGCCTCTTGCTCTACACAGTTCGGATCACCTGCTGGCTTCGGGTCTGCATTCCCGTTAGCACAGGATATACCACAGTATAGTACATTAAAACCTCTCAAGTCTGCTCTGGCAAACAAGAGAGAATATGCTGTCACTTGAACTTGCTGTTTAACAAAGGCATGTGCGTGAGATCTTATGATTGCAGCTGGATAAACACGTGCATGGGATTTAGTGACTATCATTCTGTCCTCACCGTCACACTACAGTTCCAGCCCAGGCTCCTGAGACTGTGAAAGGTACAGGGCTTTTCCTCACCAGCAAGCAGGCAGTCAGTTTTGCAGTGGACATCAGCTGGGTCCCTCTAATCAATGCCACGGTGACACTATCGGATCCCATAGATGGAGGGTTCAGTTTTCTAGACATTGTTACTTCCTAGGTGCCAAGGACTTTTGGAGCTGAATGCTAGCTCTTAGTGTACATATTTCACAATTCAATAACTGTGTCAGTATCTCATGACCAAAGATATTGCAAATACCCTCTAAGTAAGATACCTCAAAACCATAAAATAAAGTTGGGCATGGTGGTTCACAGCTGTAATCCCCACACTTAGGAGTCCAAGACAGGGGAATTGCTTTGAGTTCCAGGCTAGTCTGGGCTACAGAGTGATACTGTTCAAACTCTCCACAGCCCCCAATAAAATCAGACCAGAAAGCAGGCCTCAACACTGATGAACTGACCTTGTCCTCGGGCGGTGCCCCTTCATTATTCCAAGGGTGCAGCATCTCTATGGTCCCAGGAATGGGGGTGAAGCCTTTGGCGCCCTCTCCACAGTGGCACATGAGCAGCAAGAGCGGCACAACTGTACAGACAGAGCCCAGAGGTGTATTTTCCAATCCAACACACCGCTTACAATGCACAATGCACCCCTCGGAGCCCAGCCTTCACTTATTTAAGCTTCAAACCTGTCCAACCCTGCTTTGGGTTGAATTACAGCATAGCCTGAAGGCAGCCAGAGCCCTCTGACTCAAGTGGCTTATTCATCACAGACAGCCTGTCTCTGGCTAGTGAGTCAGATGTTGTGATTGAATGAGATCATATGTAAATCAGAAAAACCAAGGTAAAGATGGAATGTTTTAAAACTACTGTCCAGAAACTATTTTTTTTTTTTGTAAGTCTATGATCTAAAAGATATGTATGAGAGTTTCCAAAAGCAGCCAAGAATGGCAGCACATGCCTGTGATCCCCACTGCACTTAGATGCTTCGGAGGCTGAAGCAGGATTGCTGTGAGTTTGAGGCCAGCTTGGGCTATAGAATGAAACCTTGTCTCTAAAGCCCCACCCAAAACAAACACATATACACAAAACCTGGGGGTGGTAGATAACAACACACCAAAAGACAACATATTCTAGAATGCCAAAGCTATCGCCCTTTACCTCAGAGGGGACTTTGCACAACACCAGACTGTCTGATGTTCCAGTTCACCTTTTAATACCTAAGTACCATTTTCTTTTCTTTGGTTTGTATTTTTTAAATTGTTTTTTTTCAAACAGGGTATTATATAGCCCAGGCTGGCCTTAAACTCAATATGTAACTGAGAAAGATCCTGAAGTCCTGACCCTTCCATTTCTGCTTCCCGAGTTCTGGGGTCGCAAGTGTGCTGTGCCACCAATGTTCAGTTTTATGTAATTTGGAGGTTGAGCCCAGGCATGCTATGTAAGCACCCTACCACTGAGTTCCACATTCCGCAACTATAGTAATCAAGTGTCCTGAACTGAGTGACAGGTTAGGCTTCAGGGAAGCTGGGATGCGAAGCCAGGGCATGGGATCCCTGGGTAAAAGACACATACTCAACTCCATAGTAAATTAAAACAAGGCATTCACCAGCAAATGGAACTGATGGGCTGGAGGTCCACTGTAGACGGTTGACGTCTGTGCATTTAACCAGCTATCAGTGTCTTTAATTGGTCCCTCCTCTTTCCATGGGGACAGTCCATGTTGTCTGGGAAGTGGGGCTCTGCCCACGTGCAAGCAGACTGGGACTTCATGAGACCCCCAGATCTTTGCGTGGACTGGAGGGCAGGCAGGACTGGCCGGGCACAGCTTGTTATTGTCAGGACACACAGAGTGCTTTGAAAAGGCTGGCTGCAGCTGGTGCTGGCAGAGGCAAACCAAGCAGCCAGGAGTGGAGGCGGAAGAGCCCCAATGACCAATAACTTGAATGTGCAAAGTGTGGTGGGATTGGAACACACCACCTCTGTAAAAATAACACTATAGCCACATGGCACATGCACCTGCCTATTAACACTACTTCTGGCAATGGGAACATAGCTCAGCAACCCCCTATCTCTCCAGTTATCTTGCTGTTCACCCTCCAAAGTGTTCTCAGGAGCTTAAAGCAGGAGTGTAGGGAAGCCACTGGCTACAAGGTTAAGAAGTCACCCTGGACTGAAGACTCTCAAGGCAGGCTATGAAGACTTACGCAGCAAGAGCAGGAGGGCCAGAATCATGAGAGCGATTGCAGCGGGTCCCAGGCCAACGTAGTTGTCATACTGGGCTTCTGCACAGCCACTGCCCCCAATGCACTCACACACCGTGAGCTGAAGGACCTGCTTCTCAGGGCAGCTGAAGCCCTGGCTGTCTGAAATGAGGAAGGGGACCTCGCTTCTTCCGAGCTTCCGCTTGCTTTGCTGCAGCAGTACACTGGTGCCTGTGTGAGGGGAGGTACAAGGGAATGAAACTGAGCGACTGTTGGGGTTAGGCCAGTGTTCTCCACTCACCATCAGGAAATAATGTGACTGAACAAGGATGAGATGAGGTATTGTGTACAGAGAGCCTGGCACACAGTACATGCTCAATAAACGCGATTTCAAATGGAATTATTATGAGTGCACGTTACAAATGTATCATTGCTGTACACAGGAAGGTTCCAGTCTCCCCAGGTTATGAGAGAAAAGTACCTGAGGGGATACTTGGAGCAACTCGGCCTCCTTTAAGGCATGCAGACCATCTTCTGTACTTTCCACACAGGTCTGCAAGAGGAGCTGAGACACTATTGTAGGTTCAGAGGCTCATCTTATAAGCACCTCCAAAATTATATTGGGGATTACATTGGAAACACAATTTGAGAGAAGAAACATGGCCTACATTATTAATGTGACTATTATTTCTAATACAGGGTCTCACTGTATTGCGCTGGCTAGACTGAGTGCCTTATGTAGATTACTAAGATGGCCTTGAACTCACAGACATCTACTTGTTCCAAATTAAAGGTGTGTGTCAGCATGCCTGGCCAGAAGGTATACCAGGAATTATTCTGGAAGAAAATGGCTATGTTATAAAAATCTTAGTTAGTTATCTGTCACACTTACTATTTAATTTAGATATAGTTCAAGAATCTACTTACTTTGTTGGCGTATTATTTTCCAGTTCTCTGCCGTTCCAGGTGGCTGGTCAATGATGGAGAAACTGAATGGCCCACTGTTCTGGGGTCCATCCAAATCCTCTGCAGTGACATTCACATATGGTGCATCATCACAGATGCGCTGTACTGGCTCCACCAGTGTAGGACAATTGTCATTGATGTCTTCAACAGTGATAATGACTGTGCCGGTGATGGTTTTCTGAGGATGATCTTGAAAATAAGCAGGAGAGAGTTCAGACTTCTGAGTCTGTCACTGACCATCAACACAGTTTCAGTACAGAAGCCAATCAGGTAATGGGAGGGGGGCGCTAACCACCAAGGGCACCTCCCATCCTGGCTGGGTCTCAGATTTGAAGCAGTCCTAAGTCACTAAGTAAGCGAGACTCTGAAGGCTTGAGCACTGAAGAGATGAGCCCTTTACACACAGAACTCACATTCTGATGTTGGAAGATGACATCTGAATGCATTCAGTCACATAAAATATTGTGTTAATGACTTACCACTGGATATGGCTAGAACCTTTACAGTGTAGGTGCCATTCTGGACATATCTAGATTCAAAATCAGGAATCTTCACAAGCTTAATCTCTGAAGTGTCAGAATCCACGGAGACCCAGTTGTCTATATCTTCCACTTTTACGTATCTGTTACAAACACCAAATCCATGTTCAGTTCTGCATACATTGAGACTAACATCTGCGCCTCCTTCAGACTTGGCTGTCTCCCATTGTGTATGTCCTTGTTAGACAGACTGGATTTGAATGTCACAAGGCAGTGGATAGGCTTATGACATATAGTATATTGGGATGTTGTCAATATTTAAAAATAACTTTGGATACCAGTGGTTGCCTTAGATTGAAGCACCTAAACATTTTGAGATATTGTACATTGTTAGGAATTGTGACAAGTGAGGGGAATCAGTGTGAAAAGCCAGCAGTAAGGAGACATAGGGAATATGCTCGTATTGTTGTCAGGGTTACATACAGCGAGTACTATTGAGTTTAACACAGACACGGCAAGCACGTGAGTCTCTAGGTTCAAACAGTCAAATCAATAATTCATTTTCTAGTAAGTAGCTGTTCAAGCACACAAGAATGGATGACTAATTTATAGTAATATTTGTATACACTATTGTTGGGAATTATCTACTTACTTTAACAGCATTTTTATGCCTATTATTGTTACTTGTAAATGATTATAGGGGGAGGTATGGTCCAGAACTTGGGAGATGAAGGCAGAAGGATCAGGAGTTCAAGATTATCCTCGTCTACATAGTGAGTTCAAGGCTAGCCTGGGTTAATGACACCCTGTCTAAACAAACAACACCTAAAACTGTAAAAACAAAACTATAAAAAATAAAATGTAAAAAACAAACGGCAGTACACTTGGATTTTAAGAAGTACTTCTGAATGTCCTGCAGGAATCTGAAAGCAGCCCTTAAATAAGGTCGTCTAATCTACACATCACAAGGGGATATGTTGTGTGACGTGATTTAAGTTTTGCAACTCACCTATTGTGGAGCTCAGCATTGGGGCAGCATAGCAGCTCATGTGTTATCGAATATTCATAAATTACTGAAAATAATCAGTTCGATCCCCACTAAGGCAAAATAAATGCCATGATTCTTTTGCTGTCCTCATTAAATTTTAAAGGGTTTAGTATTTTAATAGTAATTGTTTGTAAGTGTGCTCATTTGTGTGTGGCTATGTGCAGGTGCCCTCAGTGGCCAAAAGAGGGTGTCAGAATCTCTGGAGCTGGAGTTACAGGTGATTGATTCTGAAGTACCAGAGGCTCCAGGACCAAACTGGGAACTCCACGAATGCCGCAGGTGCTCTGTTGTACCGAGCCATCTATCCAGATTTCACCGTCCAAATGAAGAAGGTGGCAACTACCAAGGAGCTAAATGACTTAACTTGACCGTGCTTCCCAGAGCGGGCAAAAACTCACAGGTATGAGCGGATGTCAAGGTCACTCCTGTCCTAACAATCTAAGACTGCATGCAAAAGAAGGAAGACACTTTTGGAAAAGAAGCTTATTTTATCAGTCTTCAAAGGACACACACCATTTCCATATCAGTCGCAGGCCCTGAGTAAAAGCAGCAAAATTAAAAAAAAAAAAAAAAAATGTCAGGAGGCCATTTCCAATAGGTTGGTATTAGAACATACAAGCTTCTCAGTGGATGTAGAGAAAAATCACACAGAATCACAGAATCCCCACTATTCTGGGGACTCAGTTAGGGGTTGCTGTGTCACATAGAGTCATGGAGTTTAAATGCAGACCCCTGTAGAAGTGTGAGTAAAAGATGGTCACAAAGACATTTAGTGGAAAGTGCTTATGGGTATCAATTTGGGGGGAGTTATCTACTTGACAGCTGATAGATCCCAATAGATAGTTGGCAGCCTCCCTGCTACAGCAGGCTCTGCTTTTAGATGTTCCATGAAGCACCAGCAAGCAGTCAAGGACACAGGCCAGCACCACAGCATCTTGGGCATCGAGCAGAAGATCCTCAAAGCCATGTGTCTGAGCAGTGGGAGGAAGTCCTTAAACTCCACGCACACGACTTCATAAACAGCAGCTTTGCAGAGGAGCCCTCCCATGCAGTGACCCTAAAGCTAAGAGATTCATTTCAAAAATCCTAGATCAATGTAAGCTGATACTATAGAGTCTGGACACAATGAAGTCCTTTTGGCACAGTGACAACATGCACTCAGTTCTTCACAGATGTATCTTACTAATGACCATTGTGACCCACACACGCCCAAGCTCACTGGAAAGACAGTTCAGTGGTCAAGAGCTATCTTGGAGAGGTCCTGGCTTCCGCTCCCAGGCTCACAAGTGCCTGTAACTTTAGGTTCAGGGAACTCCGACCCTCCTCTGATCTCTGAGGTGCATAGATATACATCCATGCACACACAGAAAAGTTCACCCCTCCCTGAACTAAATATAGTGGCTTAAACAAAGATTAATTCTCAAAATTTATTTGTGCATAAAACAACTTCTACCATATTGAAATGTGTGAAACTACCTGCCCCCCCGCCACTCCCCAAGCTGAGGACCTAACCTAGGGCCTTGCATTTGCTAGGCAAGCACTCTACCGCTGAGCTAAAACCCCAACCCCCGGCAACGAGTGAAATTATTTTTAAAAATCAGTGTGCAAAGTGCAATTCATGGCAAGATTCTTTCTTCATTCACCTATTTGAGACAGGGTCTCACTGTGTAGCTCAGGTTGGCCAGGACCTCAGAATCCCCCTGCCTCAGTACTTGGTTATAATCTTGTGCTAGCATCTTTAGAATGTAGTTAATCTTACCTGCTACCTCCTCACCCCATAGTGTGCTGAGAAATGAGAGAATTTTAGAGTTATTTTCTGAGATGCTTTCAGTTTTCTTTAGTAGAACTGTCAGAAGGTGACCAGTCTGGCCTCCACCTCCACACACAGGTAGAGGGAAGGATGGAACCTCCTCCCTCCTTCCGCTACAGGCTCAGTTTGGGGAGAACTGATTCACAGGCCTTTGACAAATTGTAATTCTGGGTTGTGAAGGAATGGGTTGCTTAGATTTTGTAATGAGAAACTGACATTAAAAACAAACAAACAAACAAACAAAAAACAGGCATGTAAGGTAATTACAACCTGTAAATACACATGTAACCATATCTTACTTTACTTTAGCTGCTGCCTTTCCAGTGTCTTCATCAAAAACTTGAAATTTTCCAATGGACCGGCTGAGGCTTGATCTATCCATTGCCTCACTAGCTCGGATGGAGACTACGCTGCTCTTGAAATGGATGCCTTCAACCACGTTCTTGACCTTGACAGTGATGGGGATGGGTGTAGGCTTGAACTTGTTCTGAACAGACTTGTGGAAAGCTGCTTTATTGGTGACAAGGATGCTGAAGTTGAGATTCTTCATTGTTTCATAGTCTACTTCCTGGAGGGACAAAGTGAAAGTCACTGCAGAGGGACCAGAACATGAGTATATACACAGAGCTCCAAAATGCAGCCCTTACAATACTTGAAGGTGAAATCATGATAGACTTTTTTGTTCGAAAGACACGTTATGGAGCCTTGGCCTGATGGGAGATGTCATTCTGTAAATATGTTTCTCTTATTGGTTAATGAATGAAGCACTGTTGGCCAATAGGAAAGAAAGATAGGCGGGACTAGGAGACAAGGAGGATTCCGGAAGGAGTAGGGAGGAGATTCAAGATGGAAGAGTGAGAGAGAAGAATGCCAGCCCCTCTCCGGTAAGATGAGACCACGTGGAAATACTTAGATTGATAGAAATGGGTTAATATTTAAGACAGAGCTAGCCAATAAGAAATACTAGTAACAGGCCAACAGAATTATATCTAATACGGAACCTCTGTGTGTTATTTGGGGCTGGTGTGGTGGTGGGACCAGACAGAGGCAGGGAAAAATCTACTCCTAACCCTGGCCCATCAAGGTCACGCCGTGTAATAAGCTGTCTGGAAGTGCGTGCCATGCGAGGCCATGTGGCTGGGATATGAGTTCCTGATCAGCTCCGAACTGTAGTGTGACTGCTTATTTCCATATGACTTAGGCCAGGAAGGATGTCCTTAACCCTCAGCAAGGCTCGTACCAGTTGATTTCATAAAGGCAGTACGGGGCTCAAAATACGTTAGCTTCTCCTATAGCTACAGTCCTACCCGGGTGGCGAACACTCACAACTTACCTTGACAAGGGTCACAACCCCTTCATTAGTCTGCGTGTCGGTCTCGATGAGGAAATAACCTCCTTCATTTCCTGATGCAAACGTAAAATTTGCTAGCCAGTTATCTGAACCTACTTCGTCTGCATCAGTCACTTTGATACGCATGACTTCTACATTGACTTGGTTTTCTTCCACTACCCCTTCGTACTGCAAAACATAAACACATTGGGCTTTTTGTTTGTTTGCTTGTTTTATGAATGCACTAAAAACATTTTTAGTTGGGACTCAAGAAATAGTAAATCTACGATAAAAAATAAGTTACCACTTTATTTTCTACTACAGGGATGTTGTCGTTGACATCCAAGATCTGGATCCGAACTTGAGCTTGCTGTACCGGTTTATCTGTTATCCGCCCATCAGCATCTCTTGCTTCCACTGTCAAGGAATAGCTGCTGTATTCCTGCAGAACAACAAAAATGAAGAAGAGCCATCTGAGGGAGAGATAATACCCCTGGAAGCTGCCTCTCTAGTTTTGGTTCACTCTACCAGTAGGAAATGGACCACGGTCTGTGGACTTCTACTACTGGTGTGGGGTGCTGTTTAGATGCAGCCAAAGCTTTTACAGAAGGGCAAGAAAAACCTACGGGCGTTTTTGATAACCCATCACCGGAGATAGTCTTAGGTGATGGCTTCCTCACACAAAGGAGGACAGTTCAAGATATAGTTGTTTTGCCCTGCAGGTGTCCTGGGACGGAAGAGGTCACTTTTGTTCCTGTACTTTTTCATCTACCTTTAATGCTAAGTCAGGAAGCCTTGGTCAGAGGATGTAAAACTAGAAAGGCTTGGTCCAGACTCCTAGGAAGCATGTCCTACAGAGGCTCTGAGATGTCAAATGTCACTCAATAGTACCAAAAAAAAAAAAAAAAAAAAAACAACAACAAAAAAACAAAACAAAAAACTAAAACCAAAGCCAAACGAAAAACAATGTAGCCTTTCCTGGAGGTGGAAGCAACAGAAGACCCTGGTCATCCTCAGCTAGAGGAGAAAATGTAAAAATCACAGCACAGCACAAAGCAGAACAACAGAGAAGCCAGATCTTTTCTTATACGTGGTCCCCCGTGTATGGCTCCACTCAGTGTGTCTGGGGCTTAAGGGACTCAGCAGCCACTTTAGTGCAGGAGGGTCCCATGAGGGACAGAACCACTCAGTGGATGCAGGAGAGTTGTGTTTCTGAAGCTAGCTGCCTGGTTGGCAGGACAGATGCTTAATCCCTTTGAGCCTCAGTTTCCTTGTGTGTAAGACCAGAATAAAAGCCAGATTTGCCTCACAGGGTTTCAATGTGGATTAAACAAGATAACCCTGGTAACCACCTGATAAGTGACAGCTGTGGTTTTTCAGCTGGATGTCCACACTTCAGAGACAGCAGCTTACACACAGGAATACTTCTCTGCCCTAGTCTCACGTGAACATGCAGAACCAGAAGTTAGGAGTCATTGGTCATGTTCTTACATCTCAAAGAGATCTCCACAGGGATGCTGACCAAGGTCCTTCCCATTTGAGCAGCTGATTCCCAAACAAGACACAATGCACCTACATAAGATTTCCATCTGGCAACACGGCAGTGTCCTTGGGACTGCTAACACTTTACTCTGCTGTATTATTAAAATCTTTGTGCATGTGACACTTAAAGATTATGGATCTCCCCTTGGATTAAAAAATTAGGACTAGGGAGATGGCTCAGTAGTTAAGAGTACTGGACACTTTCTCAGGGGACCCAGATGTGGTTCCCAGCATCCTCATAGCGGCTCATACACAGCTGTCTGAAAACTTCTGTTCCAGGGGATCTGATGTCCTCTTCTGACCTCCACAGGCACCAGGCATGCATGGGATACACAGACATGCACATGCAAGCAAAATTCATATGCATAAAGCTAAAACTTTTTAAAGTTAGAAATAAAAATGAAAGATGTTTGAGAGAAAATTTCCAAAATTTCTTTTGAGATTTGAACCAAGAATTTTCTCCATTATGAGCTTTAAAATTTTCCTCTTTGTTTTTGAGACCAAGTCTCACTATGCAGCCCTGGCTGGCTTGCAAATCTCTTATGGAAACTAGGCTGGCCTCAAACTTACTGAGATCCACCTGCCTGTGCCTCCTGAGAGCTAGGATTAAAGGCCTGTGCTATCATGCTAAGCATTGTTTTTGAAACCGAGTTTCACTATGTCACTCATAATAACTGGGAGCTCCCTGTATAGAACAGGCTGGCCTGGAACATGTGGAGCCTTTTCTGCCTCTTTCTTCTGAGGCCTGGGAGTGTAGATGTGTTCAATGTCTATCACATGGTAAAATTTTATAGCCTTTATGCCGTTTTCGCCAATCTGGTGCTTATTTTTACCCATTTCAATATGAGCTCAATACACCTCAATTAGAACTGGTCATATTCCAAGAGCTCAATAGCTACACCTGACTAACAACCATATTGGGCAGCACATCTCCACATGATAATTCTTAGTTATTCCATGAATGGGGAGTGCAGAACAAATGAAAATCAGAAAAACAAAAGGAGTGGAGAAACTACAAAAGGAAAGGGTATAAAAAAAGAGGGTGGTATATAGCGTGAACTTACCTCTCTGTCCAAAGTGAAACTGGTTGTATAAATCTCGCCTGTATCTTTATTTAGGTAGAACATGGGAGAATTTGCAGGCTCCTGAGACACAATTCTGTAGGAGATTTTAGAATTCAGGGTGTTGGGTTCATCTGCATCTGTTGCGATGACTTTCATCACAAGTGTATCTGGCATTAGGAATGAAGGTGTGGAGGTTAGGGTACTTAAAAAATCCTTCAGCCTTTCGCTACAAGGAGCTCAGGTTCTTATCAGAATTACACGGTGCCACTATCAGAAATTTAACTGGCTGGCAACAGAAAGATGGCTCAGGGCAGAAGGCATCTATTTGTTGTCAAGCCTGGCAAACTGAGATGGATCCCTGGGACCATATGATGGGAGGAGAGACTGGTCTCTCACTCCACTCATGTGCCATGACACTTGTGCACACGCATGTGTGTCCACACTCAGAACAATAGGAAAGTTTTGAACAGTTGCTGTATGAGGGCCTCACATTTAATCTAATAGCCAAGATGGAGAACCACACATGATGCTAGACGCTTGCTTATTTAGATGCAAACAAATTTTAGGATTAGTACAGCTGTTCTTTTTATTATGATCAAACAGAAATCTCCCTTGTGGGTCCTAAGGAGAGCATGGCATTGAACAATGCCATCACCAAGTCTTACAGTGAGAATAATACAGATCAGAGGCCCAAAGCCAGGCAGATGCTTGTTTTTGCTCATGAAGTTTTACTAGAACACAAGCCTGCCCACGTCACACAGTGTCTACAGCCAGCTTCCCCTTACAAGGCAGGCTTGAATAGTTGCTATGGAGACCTTACCTGTTGTATCAATCTAATCAATCATCTTTTCTGAAAGATCATGCTTTTTAAGGTTCTTTAAATTTACAATAATAAAAGAAGTCCAAACCTGGAGTGACCTGTGATTAATACTCAACTTTTATTAAAAGGTAGAACTTTGTGTTTTTATATGTGGGGGATAAATGGCCTTGGTTGTAACCCCCCCCCCCACACACACACACAGAAAAAGGAAATATATTTGGGTTTGGTCTGGACAGATGGCTTAGTGATTAAGAGCACTGGCTACTCTTACAGAGAACTCAGGTTTGGCTCCTGGTATCCACATTAGGTGGTTTACAACTGCTGGTAACTGGAGCTTCAGAGGATCTGGCACCCTCTTCTGGCCTGTACAGACACCTGCACACAGGTGGTACACACACACACACACACACACACACACACACACACACACACACACTTAAAAAGAAGAAAACCAATGCGCCCTTACGTGCAGCACTCAATTCTTCAATAGAGCCAACAAAGACTTCCTGTTTGAACACTGGCTCATTGTCATTGATGTCAAGAACTTTAATGCGTAGCTCTAAAGGTTTCTCCAGCTGGTTTCCTCTGGAGTCCATCGCATAGCCTGTCAGCTGAATCATGCCAGAAACAATAACAAATTTTAAGCTAAACTCAATCAACTGCTATAGTATAAACATAAAAACAAATCATAATGATTATCAAAGAAGAACTACAAATAAAGGTAAACTTGTTCCTTCTTACCAGAAAAAAAGGTGTTTCTTCTCTGTCAAGAATACTGGTAATGTTCAGGTCTCCTGTGTTTTTATCAAAGACAAATATACCAAAAGGTGGCTGTGTAATTCCTTTCCCGGTATATTTGTAGGTGATTTTTATGCCTTTTTCTTCTGCAAGGTCAGAATGTATCTAACATAAAAAGGACAGAGAGATGTCTCAAGTTAAAACATTTGCAATTTATAAGGCATTTAAATGACAATGTCATTGTATAAATAAGAAGCAGGTGGCCTGGGGCATGTGGTAGAGTCAGGGAACCATGTTCCAATCCCGTGTTAACACACTAACGTGCATGACACTGGTCAGTGGCTCACCTCCCTGGATTTCAGTTCTATCTGTGAAATGGTGCCAGGGACAGTGCTCACGTTTTATGGCTATTATGGAATTAAGATACAGGTGGGGCACATCTTGGAGGGAAGATGTTTCCCTTTAGTGTACTAGGGCAAAAACCAGTGACTTATGAATGCTAGTGAAGGGTTCCTACTGAGTTACCTCACTGGAAGTAAGTTTTATGAGATGGGCTTTCATGTAGCCCACGCTATCCTCCAACTTGATGGGCAGGTGAAGATGACCTTGAACTCCTGACCCTCCTGCTCTTATTGTGTCGTGATGCCTGACTCAAGGGGAGTATTATAATGAGAAAAATAAAAAGATCCCAACTAAGCAAGTGACCCCTGACTCTAGGCTATGGGACAGGAAGTCACAAGCAGTCCCCCCCCACAAAAAAAAGGAGGGGGAGCCTGAGCTCATTACCATCTGTGTAAACATCACTCCCCACCCCATTGTCTCTTAAGAAAACTGGGAACCAGGTAGCTTCTCTGACCTTTGGGTCATAAATCCCCCAGATCCCAGGATTAGGGAACTAGATAAGGTCTTCCAGACCCCAGGATGTGTTAATCAACCCTGACTGAGCAGACCACAGTTAAGGTGCCTTTGCTAAATACCCTTTGTCTCTCAATTATCTTGTATGGAAACTTTGTAACCTTGGCACTTAAGGCACCTTTGCTAAATAACCTTTGTCTCTCAATTCCCTTGTATGGAAACTTTGTAACCTTGTGCACTAAGAAATCTCTGTAACCATGGAAACTCTGGAATTTGTGGCCTTCAACCTCATGGTCTTCCCCTTTAAAAGCTTCCCTTTATGTCTGGTTGGCATCTTATTCCCCCTCATCCCCCCACCATGGAGTGAGATCCAATCTGGCCAGCTTGAGCAATAAAGAGAAACCGCTTTTGCAATTGGAATTGTCAGGCTCCTCAGTTTGGTCTAGGGCTCTTTGAACATGGCACAACAAGTATATTTTAAATTTGGTACATATAGTAAAAACTCCAGAATCAAAATGGAAGTTATGAAGAGGGCATCTTCCCAGACAGGGTTGAAAACAGTTCAACAACTTTCTTTGGTTGGAATAAACACTTTGGCAAATCAGTACTGTTTCTAACCTATGGGATCCCTCCAGGCCTCCTCTTTATTCTCCTTAAGTCATCTGATTCCTACCATGTAGGGGGCATTCTTCCTCTCTGTCCTTCACATACACACACACACACACACACACACACACACACACACACACACACACCACAGTCCTCTGTAGCTGGTACCTTGGCAATTGGGTTCTTTCTGGAAAGGTCCTCTCCCTCCCGGAGAGCCACGGGAGCAGTGATCCAGGCTCGCTTTTGTCGCACCAGGTGAGTGTGCTTAGGGTGCGGTTTGTCTCCTCTTCTTGCGTTGGAAACCTGTTAACAAGGTTACCTGCAGTTATTACATCCCAAAGCTTCAGGAAGACATTCGGCAATTCACTTAAAAATGGTGCACATTTTAATGCATTAGTTACAATAAACCTAATCGATTAAAAAACAAAATAGCACAAAACTTAACGTATGTTTTCTATTTTTAAACAAGCTTCATTTTTACAAAGGAAATGTATATAATCTAGCAAACTCTACAGGTCCATGAGAGCCTCCAAGCTGGTAAAGTGACAAGGTTTGCTTTCCATAGTAAAAAAGGTTTCCAAAGCGAGGTCCACAAAGGACCAACAAATAAGCTAGTCCCTTACAGATCAGAAACAATGCTATGTTCAGAGCCTCCTTTTCTTTCTGGCTGAGAACTGAGGTTCACTTTCTGTGGTGACTTTGTGTTTATTAGGACTTTCTCTTCAGAAGTGATAGATATAAATATGTCCCCACCAGGCAAGGCTATACATGTTGTAATCTTAGCACCTGAGAAGTACAGGCAGGATTCTAAGTTTGAGCCTAGCATAGGCTATGGGTTAGCTCCTGCTTAAGAGGCCCACCCCTACCAGTTGGTAAGTAATTAAGTCTGCCCTTGTTTTTAAAACTTGACTTGGGAAATTTATTTCACATACTTTCAATTAGCTTTCATGGGGAGACTTTATTTATTTTTAAACATGCATTTAGTTTTTACGTGTGTGCATGTGCGTGTGTGTGTGTGTGTGTGCGTGTGCATGTGTGTGTGTGTGTGTGTGTGTGTGTGTGGTGCATTCGTGCCATGTGGAGGTCAGAGGACAATTTGCAGGGTTCAGTCCTCTCTTTCCTCCATGTTCTTGGGGATCGAACTCAGATCCCCATGCTTGGCAATAGGTGAGTTTACCTGCTGAGCCACCTTGTTGGCCTCCAAATATTTTTTATCCAAGAAAAATTTCAGTGTAGTTGACTTTGTACCTTATAACCAGAATAATTCTGCACCAGGTTCACGTCATTAGTCCACCCATTTTGTTGTTCAAATAACTATGTATTTTATTGGAAAATGTTTACACTGTCACTCATTTTTACTATTTGAATTTTTTCATAGTAAAATTTGAATTATAGCTTAAAACAATTTCGATGAAAGATTTTTATGCAATGTTTTAATCATGTTTTTCCTTCCTTCTTCCCCTCCCAGATCCTCCTTACCCACCTTTATGGGCTCTCTCTTTCTCTCTCTCCCCATAAGAAATAGAAAAGAACATTAAAACAGTGTAAAACTGTAGCAATCTTATTCATTCATTCCTTGTTAATGTCTCCGGGAAAGCCTTCCAAGATCTCCAGGGCCCTTTTATCTTACAATTTAGACAAAGCTGGTCTCCAACTGATGGAGAGACCCACCTGCCTCTGCCTCATGAGTGCTAGGACCCAAGAGATAAGCTCCTCCATGCCTGGCAAGGGCTTTTTTGTTTTGTTTTCTTTTAAAGAAAATGCTAAACCAAGCATTCTTTGAAGTGGGTTCATCTGTGTTTGTTTGAGTGAGAAGGTCCAGGTGTAAGCAGTGTTGATTTCCAATCTAGTAAAACATAGCCAACCTGTTCACCAGAAAACTAAGGCACTGGGTTCCAAAAAATGGAATTAATCCCCCTTAGTTCCTCACCTCTAAGTGAAGTCCATTTCCAAAGTCCAAGCAGACCTGTGAAATAAAATTATAGACATTAAAAATAAGAGTAACTATCACTATCATCCTTTGGGAGTGGAAACAAACTATAATGTTCTCCCTTGTCTTAGAAAAGAAATGTTCAGAGGGCCAAATTTATCTTCTCTTTGGTCCACAAAGTCTCCTTCAGAGAACAAATACACACACACACACACACACACACACACACACACACACACACCAGTATGTATATATACACCACATATACACATATACTATATATAGTATGTGTATGTATTTATATGCATATGTATATTCATATAAGGGAAGGCAGGCATGTGCCACAGGGTTCATGTTGAGATCAGAGAACAAATTAGGAGGCTCTGTCTTTCCAACACATATGTTTTGGGGATTAATCTCGGGTCCTTGGGCTTGGCAGCAATTGTCTTTACCTGCTGAGCCATCTTGCTGGCCCCGAGAACAAGTATTTTAGTGAACAAAACAGGTCCAGGAAAGTGTGACTCAGGAGTAAAGGCAAGAGCTGTGCAAGCCTGCCTGCCCAGGTCTATAGTGGTGCACATCTGTAAAGTGGTGCACATCTGTAAAGTCGGCACTCCTACAGAGGCAGGAGGATCACCCAGAAGCTGGGAGCCAGCCTGTCACAGTAGAACAGTAAGAGAAACCACCTCAACCAGGTGAGAGCTAACTCTCTGAGGTAGTCTCTGACACTCACATGCAAAATAAATAGATTTAAAAAAAAAAAACCAAAATCAAAAAACAACAACAAAAAAATCCCACGTTTAATGGATACAGAGCTCTCCGGTGCCAGCCCCTCAGAGCGGAGACTGGAAAAACCACAAGTTGGAGTCTGTTCTCGGGGGTGGGGGGTGGGGGGGTGGGGGGGTGGGGTGGGTGGGGGGGCGGGTGCGGGGATCAGTTTAAATATCCTGTGGGTGTGGTCTTGAGTATCTCTGGGGGAGGGGCCATCTTTTGGCGGGGCTTCAGAAGAGTAGTAGAGTTTGGAGGGAGACTGGAAAAACCAGTCTGTTCTCTGTGGGGGACAGTTTAAATACCCTGTGGGAGTGGTCTCTGGGGGAGGGAGATGGGGAAGGGTGCTTGGGTGGAACCTCCACCATGGCGTCCCAGACTCTTTGGGTGTATAGATGCCAGGGGCTGGGCGAAGCAAGCTTCCACGGTAACAGTAGCCACTGTGGCTTTGTCTCCCCTCCACCGTATCCCTTCCTACAACTGGCATCTCAAACTCGAAAACCCAGGAGTCACACTGACTTCTGGACAGACAGACTCACTGTTACACAGTGAGGTTATGTGTTATCTGAGATCATTTCTTCAGCTGTCCCCTCCTCTTTCCCCAGGCGACAGATGTCCTGAGGACTTGTCACATTTAGCCACCCACTGTGTACTTTGCTTTCAACTCTAGCTCTCTCTCATTCATCTTCTCGTGAATCTTGGTCATTCGGCTAAACATCTTCCATTTTCTAAGGCCAGTTAAACATGTTTGCACTCTGCACTGGCTAAACAAACCTATTTGGGTCTTCCCCAGAAGACTCACCTTTGCTTCTGCTAACCCTGATTTCTTCTGTGTTGGATCCTTCAAACTCTAAACTGGAAACAGCTTGCATCAATTTCCTTTACTTCCCCATTTTCCATTGGGGTCTGAATTAACTGTAAGGTGTATTCAGCTTGAATCTCTGTAGCCATGTTTGCCTTCCCTCACATGTCACAGCAGACACAGATCCATGGGATCCATACAATGTGGGAACCAAGGCTTTCTCTGAAAATCCATGCTCTCTAACAGCCTTCATGCTCCCTTGAGGGCTTCCTGTGGTGTCTGTTTTTTGTGTGGACTCTTAACCCTCATTTTACCCTCTTACCTCATTTAAAATAAACTCAAGATCTATTGGCATGTGCCTCTAAAGTGAGCCTCTAGGCAGACAGGAAGCTATGGTGGTTTGTATGCGATGTCTGTCCTAAGTGTCCAGCATTGGGACACTAGGTCCCTGGTGGATGGCAGTTTGGGCAGGATTAAGGGGTGTGGCCTTGGTGGAGGGAGTATGTTGCTGGGGCATAGACTGAGGTTTCCAGACACATGGTATTTTGAGTTAGTTCTCTGATGTTTGAGATATAAGCTATGAGCTCTGGCTCTAGTCCCCTACCCCTACCTCCATTCTGCCATCATAGATTCTAGCCTCTGGGTCTCAAGTGAATGTTCTCCTAGGAGTTGCCTTGGTCATGATGCCTTTGCTTGTAGAAAAGTAACTAATACAGCAGCCTTAGCCAAATTTCTACTTTCTGTCTTATAACTAGATACATTACTTCTTACTTTTTTATAGATTACTTCATCTAGTGAGAAGTGGCTAGAGATGTCTAGCCGACATGTGCTCCCCAAATTTTTAAAATTTCAACGACATGGTGGCAATGTTGAGATACTACTACTATCTGTATGTTTCTCTGGTAGGAATTTTTGTACAGAAAAGACTAGTGCCTGGATCCAGCACTCACTGTCACATCAGCAGGGGACATTCTCAAATTTACGCTTCCTCTACCAGCCTCCCATCCACTTACAATTCTAAAAAAAACATTTTTATTTGTGTATGTATTTATTTTGGGTACCTGAGTCTCTCTTTCTCTGGTACCTGGAGGCCAGAAGAAAGTGTCAGAGTCCCTTGGAGTTGGAGTCACAGGTAGGGCTGGGAACTGAACTGAGGTTCTCTGCAAGAGCAGCAAGAACTCTTAACCTCTTGAGTCATGCCTTCAGTTTCACATTTTCCTTGTCTAAAATCTTATTGGCCCTCGCTAAAAGGTGTAATTCCTCGTTACTTTAGTGTTATCATTCTAACCAAATAGCACATATTTGACTTGCTAAAAGGAAGTGATTTTTTACTAGATGTGGGCATCCCCAGTGACTCAATGAAACCTGTTTTCTACGTGTTTGCTTAGAAATGCAGATTAGACAGTAACAATAGACACCCTCAAGTATGGAAAAGGCATCTTATTCGAGGGCAGCCATGACTCATTTTTTTTTTTTTTCCTATAAGGAACTTGATGACAGATAAATGTCATGTGCAGTGCTTGGATGAGAAAAATAAGCTTCTCTGACCTTAGCAAAAATAATGTTTTTAGATGAACCAGAAAAATCCTTCAAAAGCTCACTCACTCTATAAAAGTTTAAGTGTTTCTATGGTTGGATCTTGTGCCTCATGTAAAACTTGGCCTTCCTGGTAACAAGCAATAACCGAAACCAACCAGCCAAAACAAAAACTGTAGTGGAAAGGGAGGCCAGCTAGCACTGACCAATGGTAACAGTGTACACTATGTTCTCAAGGTCAGCAACTTTAGAAAGGGTTTCCTGCTCCGAGGCTATTGTGATGAATGCCATCAGGACACTCTGGAGGACAGGGTGTCAGAGTGTCACTAGCTGACAGTTCCTCCTGGCTGACAATCTGAAATCTTGCTCCCCAGCAGGCGACCTTGAACTTCCTTCTGTGAACCCACAGTGAGGTGCCCCTTGAACGCCAACATCTCAAAATAGTATCTTCTGCTGAATATAGACGTACAGGAAGTAATTTCAAATTCTGTATCAACTTTGAGGCACAGGGATGGTGTGATATTTCCATGCTAGCAGAGAAGTCTGAGAGAGAGGGTGAGCGGTGCTCAGTGGGAGAGTTGACTGTTCTTTAAATGCAGACCCTCTCTGCATTGGTTAATGTTGTCAGCTTGACAAGATCTAAACCTCTGGGAGGGATAATCTACCTTCGTCTCAAGGCAGTGTTTCAGATGCTGGGGTCCTAGATTGAGTAACAGGAGAATGGATATGAGCACCAGCATTCACCTCTCTGCCTGCAAATGCAATGTGGCCAGTCCCTGGCCTCAAATTCCGTTCAGTGGCCTCATGCTCCGGCCACCAATGTTCTCACACTCCATTACTGCCAGCAGGACTTCCCCACTGTGACTGGCTGTCCTCCTGTGAGTCACACACAGTAAACCCTTCCATCCTTCCAGGTTACACTGTGTGTGTGTGTGTGTGTGTGTGTGTGTGTGTGTGTTTGCCTGCGAGCACTTGTCACAGCAATGTAAAAAGCAATTCCTGCTAACTTCCAAGGCCATTCTACCCACCCCCCAGTCTAAGCACGAAGAACATTCCAAAATTTTTTGTGTCTCCTGTGGGCTGTATAGAAGGCATGAGACTGAGGATGTTTGGCTCTGCTCAAATCCTCTCATAAAATGAGTTCAACTTTGGACGAAACAAGTAAAGATGAGATAAAATGAAGGCATTGGATGCTGCTTATTTATTTCTCCAAGTCACATGTCCTGATTTCGTGTGGGTATTAGCCAGAGCTGGCGGTCTGGCCCCTGGATAGCTTTGAAGGTTTGGCAGAGCTTCTGTGGCTATAGTATCTCACATGGCTGACAGGGGTTGGGACTTGGTGCTGTCCAGAGTGCCATGATTTTGAAGTCCTTTGCTCATACATCTGATGTGGACCAGATTTATACTGGAACTTAATGTGCCATTCTGTCTTCTTGTTATTTCTTATGGAGTGTGGTTAGTCTGTGTAGTTCTCATTTTATAGGTAAAGTGTTACAACTTAGTTAAAAGAGCCCAACGTTGAGACCAATGGGACGGCTCGGTGGGTAAAGGCATTTGTTGTGCAAGCATCCTGGCTTGTGTTCATTACCTGGAACCCAGGTAAAGGTAGGAGAGAACTTACTCCATAAAGCTGGTCACCGACTTTCACATGTGTGCTCCCATAATAATAATCATAATGAAGAAATAAAAATCCCACTAGGCACAGTGGCACACACCTTTCATTCTAGTACTCTGGAGGTTGAGGAAGGTGGATGGATCTCTGTGAGTCTGAGGCTACCTAGTCTACACACAGTGAGTTCCAGGCCAGCCAAGGATATATAGTGAGAACCTGTATCAGCACGTCAGCCAATAAGTAAATGAATAAACAATTCAATTTAAAACTTTAACTTGTCAATGATCCAGATATGTGCATGGCACCCAACAGTTGCTTCAAGCCTACTACAACTGTAGTCTTCTCAGTTGCTAATTTTGAAAAAAAATCCTCAATAGCAGAGGAAAGGGGACTCTGAACTCTACTTTCTAGATAGGTGATTAGCAAAGTAGATGACTGTTATAATCTCCTGCCTGCTCTGCAAACACGGGGGCTAATTAATCTCAATGCAATGACTGTGACTCAGCCATTGAAGTTGGTTCCAAAGGGAAGGTATCTGCTTGGTGCCATGTTTCTGACTCAGAATTTGAAATATGAATTGAGCCATATTGCGCTACACCCAACCTGCCTCATCCCATCCTGTAAGGAATTTTATATCCAGTGGACTTTTGTGTCCTTATAGCCGGTTCCTAGTCAAACCAACAGAAACCTCAAAATAATAAAAATAAACCTTCATTCATTGTGGATTTTATTAGCATCCCTAAATTATTCTCTAAGAAACATTGCAATGGCTAACAAAGTTAGGTTTTTATAATGTTGAATCTTTTCTACCCTCATTTTCCACCATACAGAGAGGTGAACAGTGTTTTTTACACTTCAGAACTAGTCCGAAAGCTATTGGCCCCATCCTAGATTTCCTGTTTAATAGGTCTGGGGCTTGGCCCAGGAATGTGTATTTTGATTCATTTTCCAGGTAACACTAAGGCCATTGCCTAAAGCTCACAGGCCAGCAAGGGAAAGGACAACGATGACAGCCTGAGCCCGGGCAATTCATAACCTAGATAATGAACCCTTTGATGCAGAGAGCTGTGTGCAGACATGACTTCTAAATGATGGAACACAAGCATTGTGAGTTAGTTATACAGGAAGACTTCACCTCGGAAGTGCCAATTCATAACCTAGATAATGAACCCTTTGATGCAGAGAGCTGTGTGCAGACATGACTTCTAAATGATGGAACGCAAGCATTGTGAGTTAGTTATACAGGAAGACTTCACCTCGGAAGTGCCAATCTTATGCCGTAGGATTGCTTTAGAAATTGGATGTGCGAGTGTGTGTGTGTGTGGTGTGCCAGTGACCGTGGACGCCAGAAGGTGTCAGCTGTCCCATGTGGTGCTGGCAACCTAACTCAGACGCTCTCCAACTGCTGAGCCCTCCCTCCAGGCCCAAGACAGCTCTAAACAGCGTTTCCCTCTGGTTTATTTCTCTCCTTAAAGTTTACAAGTTTCACCAATCCTGGGCATTTGTCTTTTTTTTTTTTTTTTTTTTTAATTACCATTTCTCTAACAGCCACAAATGCCTTTGGAATCAGGCAAAACTGAAGTTAAAGTGTGCAGTGTACTCCACTTTACGGGACAAATAAAAACTGTGGGCTCTTCCTTCCTCCCTCCCTCCCTCCTTTTTTTTTTTTTTTTTTGTATAGTTATCTCTGAAAATTACACTTAAAAAAAAAAAAAAAAAAATAGAACCAGGGAAAATGGACCCCACTCAACACTGA